CTACGACCACTTCCCTCCAAGCTCTGAAAATCACACAAAATTCTGGGATTTTTTTAATATCCCTTAATTTCTGTACCTAGTATATTGTATAACATTTTTAACAGGAATTTATTTCTAAATTAAATTGACTTTTCTGGAATACAATTAGCGTTTTCTGCAACAGACATAGAAAAGCGTTGTACGTTTCTTGTTAGGATGCAAACATACTGAAGCACTGCCTCGTCAAGCAACATTTCACACCCCCACCTTAACTAACTTAAATTTATACCCAATTGTCACGTGAAGTGTTAGATACTTAATTAATTAAAAAAGATCTATTTTAAGGGTATATACCTATTCTTCCACAATTAATTAATTATTATTAATTGCCATCTCTTTAAACTAACCACCACATCCTAGCTCTTAACGATATGTATCTTGAAAATTCTCATTTCCTTTTCATAAACCAGATTATTTCAGGCAGTCTTCAATAGTTTTAATATAATAGTAATTTTAATATAATATAATTTTTTTAGTAAGTACATTTTTAATAATTTTTTACCCAATAAAATAATTGATCTTTGTTATAAAGACTATAATATAAAAAGTAAATATCTAGTATGATATACATAGATACTAAGAATAATGAATTATAATCTACTTAGATACCTTTTATTAACCTTTACACAAATTATCTTTGTAAAAAATCTTGAATAGAAGTGATAATATAGAAAAAAAATTATATCTACAACAACTCCGTTCCTTTGAATTTGTAAAAATCTATCAAACGTATAAAAATAATGCAATGCGTTATTCATGGTAAATTTAAATTAACTTTTAACGGTATACCTGTTTTATTATTTGACCAATTCTTCTCCTATTAGTCACTAGTTAATCGTGCAAGATATGTTGGTGACACAACAAAGATTAAAAACAATGAAACTAAACTATAAATTTTATGATTCAGAAAAAATTAATAGCCGACTATAGTACGATCGGTCATAAAGTAAATATTCTACTTCTCTACGTTTTAAATCCATGATATAGGTATTATGACAAATAATTCAAAATGTGATTTTCATTTCAAAGTAAGGTGTTGAAATATCTTCAAAAGAAAATTCCATATTACCTTAATTATCTCGAAAGTAATTGACGTGCAAAATTTTAATTACTATCACAGAAACACAAACCACAAACATAAAAACATTTTCTCAAAAAGAGCATAAAGAAAAGTAAGAAATAGACATAAATCCTGAATTTCGAACACACCATATACAGTATACTGTACAGTGTTATACTTTTCTATGTTCCTGAGGTGATTTAATGTTAAATATTTTAAATTTTTTACATACGTGTCGATTAAAAGTATCATGACCTTCCGGATTGATATACCGTGGTAACCACGCCGTGGTTACAAGTTTATAATTCAGTTCCATAGTCTTAGCTAGAAATCTTTGACCTGCCCTTATTGTTCTCGGACTAGGCTGTGTGGGGGGCTGACCCGCTATCACAACAAAGATGATTCTGCAAAATTTTAGCTACGACTCAGGCCTTAGTCGTTCTTATAGCGAGTTTGTCTCCACAGATTCTACACCGAGAGCTAAATATTCTTAGAGAGTGCAATGCAAGACAGCATAACAATTTGCAAAACCTTTAAATAATATTACGGACCATCAAAGCCTTAAAACCGCTATGTAAATGTATTTGTTATTCTCATATAGTACTTAGAAATAATTAACTTTTAGTACAAATTAAATTAAATAACCCAACTATTACTTAGCTGTTTGCATTTGACTTTACTTCCACTCTAACTCTACATTTTATTTTTTTATTTTCAGTAGTCTGCAAATCTGACTACAAACAAAATGAAAATGGGTTCCAGTAAATAATAACAAAGATTTCTGTCAAATGTTTCTCATGTTGGTTACAACAATAACGAACAGAATTTGTAGTAAATTTACAATCAATTTGATTTCATATAACCTTCGTCCGCAATCAACTAGCACCGAAAAGGAATACCTACTTTGCCGTTTAAATGTTCATTTAGGGATTCCCCGAAAGACTCGATATACCGTAGACATCGTAGACAAGATAGAGAACCTGAAAATCATGTTTCTATAGCTTAGCTTGCATCACTTTCCGATAAAATTCAATTAAAAGATTATATCACATTGTAAATCATTTGAATTGATATGATTATAAGTCGTGGAAATCAGCAGTGTAGATTATTTCGAAATATTGTGTAAAAATGTGTTCAACTCTGAGATATAAAAAATATTCTATAAAATACAATATGTAACACAATGTAACAAAGAAAAAAAGAACACTGAAAATAAGATATTTGGTACATGTTATCTTTCTCTCGCCGAACGTGATTGGCTCACTACTGACCCCCTCCATATATACGTGAAAGGAACAGCTAATCACATTCGGCAAGAGAGAGATAGCACGTACCTTCATAGCGACTACCTCTCTCTTCGCTTTGTAACGTGTCCAGCCATTGGAAGGCTTCCTTCAGCCTTCAGTAGTATATGCTTGAAGATTTTAACTAATATTTAAAGATTACTTAACCATTAAATTCGTAATTTAACAATAAAAAACACAGTTCCACATATTATTTTATCTTGAACGGTTATTTGTAGAAAATAACTTCCAGGAGCTGCGAACCACTTAAGAGGCATTTATGCAGTTGAGTTTATATACATAGTGTTTCATAACAGTATGTCTTTATTCAGGGGGGTGAATCTGCGCATGATTTTAAGTAAAAAAATTCAAATAAACATATATTTGTAAATGCTTCGTTATTATGGTACAGGGTGTTAAAGTTTCAATAATTTTTCTGTTTTTACAAGCTTTTATTTAACTTGCCTTGTTAATATGGATCAATTCTTGCAACTGAATTTTAAAACAGTTATCCCCAACCGATTGAGCTGAAATTTTGCATACATGATTAGTTTGGACGACAATGCATGGTGGCACCAAAATCTTGTTTTAAAAAAAATTAAACCCGAACTTATTTTCTTCCACAGTTTTTGAGATAATTAGCTCAACTTTGGAATGCAGGCTAACATAGATTACCTGCATTATGAATGATTTTCATCAACATTTTTTTTCTCATTGTTGGTAAAGATTATGACAACACGGACGTGTTTTATGAAACATCACTTTATTTACTATAAAAAAAAATATATATGTGCATCTTAAAATGAATTATTCTATAAGAATATATATTTCAGATTTCTATTGTTATTGTCAATTGCAAATATCTAAGTTCTTGAGAACAGTTTAGGCTAATTAAACTTGATTTTTTTGCTGTATTTGTAGCTATATTAAATATTTTTCACGGTTTAAACTAACTTGTTTCTATTCAAATATCAGCCTCTAATGAGATAGCACTTAGATTAGAATGTGGTTTCGCCAAACAGCAATTAAATGCGTATATTTCAACAGATGTTGATTTAAATAAAGCTTGGTCTAAAAGTTAGTAAAGATTGTAAAAAATATTTAACAGCTATAAATTTACTTAATTCTCCGTAATAAATTGAAATGCTGCATTTTTGTGTGGAGCGATGCATTTTACTTCAGGTATTTTTAACGGCACCTATACTTTAGGTATGAAATAAGCATATGACTACCCGAAAAACCTACTTGTACCAAATTTCAATGAAATATTAGTAAAGTAATAGGGTTATCTTATCAAAAATAGGACAAAAAAATTATTTTGAAGGCCCATAACTTCTTAAGGAAGAAAATTGTACTAAGGTAACTTAATTTAAATAAATTTTACTTTCGTTCAAGGTTGATCCTAGGCAGAGGCGGATTGGCTATGCGGGAACTCGGGAGGTTTCCCGATAACCCGCGGTAATATTTTGGGTCAGTCCGCGCTGTAGAAAGATGAAAAATATTTTTCTTTCAAAAAACGGGCCGCTTGATGAATGTTTCCCGGGCCTGTTCATCTAGCCAGTCCGCCTCTGATCCTAGGAGTGCGTAGTCAACGGTTAAACTCGTTTGAGACTCCCCATATCTACAAAGCATAAAACTCAGTTTAAGCCAACCCTGCAATTATTTGTATATTTATAGATACAGGGTGAGCCAAAAATATAGATTAAGTATTTTTAAAGATATAATTCTCATACCTACTTATTTGTTTGTATGTTATACTGATGGAATATCATTTTACGATCATATTTTAATTCGTATTACAAAACAACAAAAAAACATAATAGAAAGCGGCAAATTTTTGTTTTCTGCGTGCACGTGCATCTAGTAAGAATTTTATTATATCTACCTGAAACAACTTTTCCCTGCGAAACTTTCTCTACAGGTCAAGAACACTGTATTTATCTGACAACGAATTTGGTAAATGTTATGTCACTTAATACTTTTGAGTCTTAATATTACTATGTAGGTAAATAAAAGTTGCTGCATAAGTATAACAAACATACTAATTTCGGATTTCTGTAATAAGCTAGGTACATGATAAAAGATACATCTTCGTGGCCTGAGGCAATATATTATTTACTGTAATTAAAATGATTGACGTCATCATGCAGTGACGACTGGATATAATCTTTTTCCATGCAGTTATATACATACGAGTATTTCAGATTTCTAAAATTTTAAGTAAGTAAATGAAAAACGAAGCAATAAATTATTCAGTTCGTGATGTGTTTATCAAGTCATGCTTCCATCAAACAGACCGATTCGCCGAAAATTTAGATTGGCATGTATGTACCTAGAGGCCTAGAGCATTGAAAAATCTTGTTGCGGAAATAGTTATGCAGAAATTGCGCTTTCTAAAAATATGTTGAAGATATCTATATACATGCATCCAAGTGTTTTAACTTTTTTTATTATCGCTTGCTTTCAAACCTATAAATATTACCTAGATATGGTATCGATACCATATAGTCATAAACATTTTACTAATCTCAAATGTTGGGTCAGAAAAACTCATTTGAGCGTTCTTCTACGCAATACAAAATATGAAATAAATTATTAATTTTCATTATACTACTTACATAAATCTTGCCACACCTTTTAGAGCAACAGGAGCGAAATTACTTCTCAGAATTAAACAAATCGTCCATATTGTTATTAGCACAGTTAGTTGTAAATTAAATTGAAAATGCCACCAAACGCGGAACTGCACTAAGGCCTACTTGTCGTACTGTTAGGCACAATACACCAACCGAACAAAAAACATCAGTCAACGTAAACAAAAGCGCGATGAATAAGGCAGTGATAAGAGAAAACATGAATTTTAACGAAACATCTATATCACGCTGCTATCTTCCAACTAAAAAACGAATCATACCGCGAGTCGCGGGTCGAGTAACATGTTTAGGTTAAAGTACCGTGAAACACCCAAACACGTTCCGTTTCGGTCTCTCGCAGGATATTCTGTATTAGTTTCTCTTTTTCAAGTTACGTCATCTTTCAGGCAGGCCCGTTTTGAGAATGATTTTGCTCAGATTTTCTCCTTATAATTCACTTGTGCATGGGAAAAAGGTAGCCATTTTTTTCAAAATTTCTGGGGTTCTAATCAATATTTTGACAAGAAACAAAATGGAAATTACTTATGATAAAAAACAAATATTTCGCAAGTGATTCCGTGTTTGGGGGTTGCTACTCTTATTTTTTATTTCAGAAAAACTATATTTTTTATTTATAAAAAAATAATATATACTCAAAAAGAATTAAAAATATGATTTATGTAAACAAATTGACAAAATTAAATTGACCTGTTTCGAGGTTTTCGTTAAAATCTGTTTAGGGGGGTGAACAACAAATTTGAAATTGTTATAACAATATAATACAGGAAAAAGTCAAGAGGTCATTTTTATGTAGAATTGTATGCTTTACAACTTTACATTTTTTTCTAACCCTTACCCGTTTTGAGTTATCTTGAAAAACCCCTTTGTTTTATCTTTTTTCACCCTTGGCCGGGGGTTGAACAAAAAATTACTCTCACTTATTGTTATAAGTTAACATACCTCAAACTAACTCATATCAAAAATTCAGGCAAGTTGACCAAAATTTCGATTTAAAGGCTTATTTAATTGGACTATTTTGTCAAATTGGCCATGACCAGAAACACTCCAAAAACAATTGAAATAACATGACATTTGTCAAATTAGTTGTCAAATTATTATTGTCTGAATAGTTTTTGCCGAAAATTTAAATAAAAATGCCTGGGGATCGTTTAAATTATACTAATGAGGATTATTTTAATTTGTAGAGAATCTGCTGTTTTTTTCCATAAATAACAAACATTTTTCGGAACAGTACTTTCCGAGATTTCAATCGACGCTGTTCTCGGTGGATCTAACAAACGAATTGATAATGATAAGCTTACTATTATTGTGTGAAAATCACGAAATTCTTATGAATTACAAATAACAATTTTTGTTAGCAATTAATTATATTATTTATATGACATGTGAATGTTAATTTGACGTCAAAATATACTGCTAGGTACATTTTTGCTTCATCCGCAGATGCATCTATAACAAAGGCAGAGCTGTCGTTATGATTTTTACTACATCAATAAAATATTGAATAATAGCGGACCCAATATTGAACCTTGAGGTACATCAGATAAAGTTTCAAATTCACACTAATCGATGCCCCATAATTACTTAATTTGTGAATAACGAAATCTCTGCATATATGTAAAAAAAATCTTGTTCAAGTTATCCCTATAAAAGTTATACAATATGTACGGGAAAAGCGTTACAAGTTAGACTTAAATCATTTTATACTTTATTTTATCAATTTTGAGTAGGTAAATATATTTAAGTTTACTTACTTCACATATCAGAATCATGTAGCATTTTAAGATGCATGGTGTTTATATTTGATCCGGAAAACCTCTGCAAAATTGTAGAAACAATTTCCATGGTTATATTTTTATTTGCACATTGTGCCTTAATGATGGCACCGTAAAAAGCCCTTTTTTAGGAATATCTAACAACATTGTTTAATCTAGCAATCCTTAAAACTCCCATTTCTTAAGTTTTATTACTAAAGATCTCCATATTTTTTATGGAATTACTACATGGCTCTGAAAAGGTTAGTGACTTAAAATCTTTTTCAACTTTAGTGTATTGTATTCAAGTACTCAAGACATCCTCAATTTTTTAATGGAAACACAAATTTACTCTTCTTAAAATTCAATACTGTTGCATTTAGCCTTATCCTCGGCACCTGTGGGAATATTATGAAATCTAACACCAATGAAACTAATATACAACACAAAAGAACTCCCGTCAGGAGAACTCCTTAGGCTCGAAGTAGAGCAATCACTAGAGCACCGTGAAGAAAAGGGCTCGCGAAGCAAGGCAAGAGATGGGACAATCATCCTTCCTACGTGAGACTGCTCGCAGGTTAAGGAGATCCTCTTCTTCCAACATGGGATCCAAAAGAGTTCATGTGTGGGAGAGACTCCTTCTCTATTCAGCAGGCTTCGAGGTTGAAACGGAGAGCAGGGGGGGGAGATTTGCCCGATACGCGGCTCTCTGCTGACTTTACCAACTCGCTTCAGAAAGCATTGGAGAGTGCTATTGATGCTTTGTCAACGGAGGGCCTCTTACCGTGTGTCGATTCGAACAGTGGATCATTATTGTCATTATTTCCATCCAAAGAATGGTTTACCTCTAGAGGTCAGAGAGATGTCTCCCGTAGAGGGGATCTCTGTCCAAGTCTTGGAGGGAAAGCCCATTCCAAAATTCCAAGATGGTGGCCTTTGTTCCTGGAGCATCAATGATCAAGGATAATATCTTGCAACGTATTGAGCGCTCCATTCCAGAGCTCCAAATTTGAGAGGTCATAGTGGCATCCAAGAAAGAATCCTAGCCCCTCAAGCCTCGGGGACTCCTCAAATGTAAAACACAATGGGTACAAGGCCTAGAAATGTGCCTTATGTGTTCAAAATTATACAGATCAACTTACAACACGGCCTTGCTGATACAGAAATAATGAGTAATTAAAGGCTCTATTAAGGACCTTATTACCAGATTTATGTAAACTGCGAATGGTACAAGCGCTACGAAATCAAGAGTCTATACTGCTAAACACATAAAACCATTCTGATTTAACAGTTACTGTTCTAGGAATTTGGTAGCCATTGAGACGGCGACGACATCAGGAGAAAGAAGTTTTGTTTTGAGCTCTGCCTACCTCCCATATGAATCATCCGACCCTCCGTCCACGTACTGTAGTGCAAGACTCAGGGCTAGGGACCGTCATAGCTATGAAAGAGGCTTACCCCTTTTAGAACATCCGAATTCAAGCGATTTGGATATTCCCAATAAAAGTTCCGTCGTCAGCCGACTTCAATAAAACGATTCAGAAATCAAGAACGGTAAACTTTTTGAGGTTACCCTGGATGACAAATTAACCTAGGCACACCATATCGACAGGCAATTACAAGGAACTACTGTATGCTTTTAGCTTTAACCCATGGCCACCTTGTGGCTATTTCTTACCTATGCAGCTGTCATATGGCATACGGCAGCCTACTATATTAAAAAGCGCTTAAGTAATCTACAATATCCAGCATACGTCATCGTCAGGACAACTGAAGCATCAGCTCTCACGGAGGCCTTATAGGCTGTCACTTCCAAAACTGTATTTCATGATTGAGAAAGAAGCAAAATAGGCTTAAACACTGGGGCTATGGTGGGTATCAGGATGGATGTCTTATGATTGCCCTCACAGAACTAGTAAAGGGAGATAAGATTCTTAAAGCTATTGGCATGCGACCAGAGGTGAACTTATCTTCTAATGAAATATGATACGGTCTTCAACCCTGTTGTATTCATTATCTCTGCTTACGCAAAAAAAGACACAGTAGTCAACAAATTCGAATATGCGCATATAGTCAGGCCTTTTGCGTGTATTTGTGTCCCACAGAACTACATCCCAAGCAGTTCTCTTGGGGCGGGGAAAATCATGTGAAAATGACCAAGGTATCCAGTCATAATGTGGCAATGACAGGACAAACTTGTTGGCCAGGCAAGATGTCAATTCTTGGGGCCCAAACCAGTATTCGGTCTACCGCAATGTAATGTAACAGAATCCATTGATAACTGGATAAAACAACAATAATTGGGAGAATGGTCAGGCGGATCAGGTCTGCGACAGGTCAGGCTTCTCATGGGTTGAAACAAATCGGAAAATCAGTTTGCTTAGTAGAAGTAGCGTTACGATTGTCACAGAACTTCTAGAGAGTCATGGACATCAAAATCTCAATAAAATTCTTCTGAGAGCCAGCACAAGCTGCAGGTTATACGCATACGAAGAAGATGATTCCACACATATCCTCTGTCATTGTGTTTGCTTTATAATGAAAAGCCACAAATACTTGGGGCGGCATTTCTGTCACCTCAAGACATCAGAGAGATTCCAGCAGAGCTAGTGTTTGCCTTCTTACTTTCGCACGGAGTTTGGGCTAGTTTTAAAAACTCTTATTATAGACCGGGAGATATTAGACTGAAGTTCGACGATGTCTTTCTCGTTTATGCCTATGAGAGTACTGAAAGGTAACCGAGAGACAAGTACAATAAACTAAATTTAAAAGATGGACTGCGGGATACCTTTGTGAAAATTCAATTTTCCTTTTCAAAAAAATAATGTGTACAGCGACGTATTTCTCACTTATGCCATGTTCATAAGTTGAAGAGAAGTATCGATTTTATCACAAAATTTTTTTGGCAAAAGTGTTGCAAGGGACCTAAAAATGGAAAACTTTGTAAGAAAATGCGAAAAACATCTTTATTTGTCTACCAATTTCTCATTAATGCCAATTAGAAATATGACATTATTATATTCGAAAAGCTCATAAAAAACATTGGCATAAGTCCTACTAAGGACTTATGAACATGGCATAAGCGAGAAATACGTCGCAGGACACATTATTTTTTTGCAAAAGAAAATTAAATTTTCACATAGGTGTCCCGGCGGGAACATCGGTTTTTCCATAATCTTACTTGTCTCTAATGTATCTTTCAGTATCCTAAAAGGCATAAACGAGAAAGACGTCGTTGAACTTCTACGAGTATCTCCCGGTCTATTAGCATCAAGTACAATGGATCTTAATACCTGAGCACTGTGTTTTCACAACAACATTCTGTCATTTTTTTCACAAAATCCGGATTTTGATTTCTTTTGTTATTAAAGTTGATTGCGTAGAATGTTAATATAAATATTAGGCTTAGGCACTAGGCACATACTTATTGAATATACAGGGTGGACCAGCTTTTTCGTGACAAACTTTAAGGGTATGCTCTACGTCCAAAAATAACCGTAGTTTGCTATAC